GTGTGCCAGGTCCCTCCATGTGTGTCAGGTCCCTAGATGTGTGTCAGGTCCCTCCCCGTGTGTGTTAGGTCCCTCTCCGTGTGTGTCAGGTCCCTCCATGTGTGTCAGGTCCTCCCCGTGTGTGTCAGGTCCCTCCCCGTGTGTGTCAGGTCCCTCTCCGTGTGTGTCAGGTCCCTCCATGTGTGTCAGGTCCCTCCCCGTGTGTGTCAGGTCCCTCCTCGTGTGTGTCAGGTGCCCTCGTGTGTGTCAGGTCCCTCCCCGTGTGTGTCAGGTCCCTCCATGTGTGTCAGGTCCCTAGATGTGTGTCAGGTCCCTCCATGTGTGTCAGGTCCCTCCCTGACTCTCCTGTTCTTCAGGTTACGCTCACTTCGTTCGGGGGAGGCAGTACTGGAAGTTTGACCCTGTGGGGCTGAACTCTGTGGACGGGGCCCCGGAGGGCGGGGCCTCTCTGGAGGGGTACCCGCGCCTCATCGGGGTCGATTTCTTCGGCTGCAGGACCTGAGCCTGAGGAGCAGTACGAGTCTGTACGAGGCTCCGCCCACAAGCCCGCGTCCCCCAGACTCCCACACGACAAATCTCCATAAACCCTGATACTGACGTTTGTACAGGAGTTTCATTAGTGCGACGCTCTGAAGGGGGAGGGACTCAGCACAGGGAGCAGAGGGAGGGCAGACTCAGAGTGTAAAATGTTGTTTTGGGGGAACAGAATATTTTTCAAACCATAAAAGAAACACGGTGATTTCCAAATGTTGTAGCAGTCACAATCCCTCGTCACGTTTCACTTTTTATTTTATTTTTAGTCGAGTTTTTTTGGCTCAGACTGTGACACTTCTGAACGTGAACAGTATTTCTCCGCTTCATTTTAATTTTTCTGACAAACATTTGGGATTTCTGTTTTAAAAAATAAGATTCTTTTCAAAGTTTCACATTTTAAACACGTCCAGAATCGACCAAAGACTGAAATCTGAACTCAAACCAGACTCACGTTCAGCAGGTTTGTACAAATCTGAGCTTCAGGTTTTATGCAGAAACTTAAGACTTTGTGGTTCGAGTTCTTTCGGATTGTGACGAGTTTCACGTTTAAATTTTGTTGAAAACATTTTCTTATTTTATTTTTATTTTAATCTCAGGAACGGGCCGCTGCCGTGTTTTTATTTTGCACAATATTTCTGAATTTTTACATTTTGCTTTAAGCTCCACATTCGTACAGGGCAAGACCAGGACTAACCCAGGACTGAACCAGGACTAAACCAGGTCTAAACCAGGACTAAACCAGGTCTAAACCAGGACTAAACCAGGACTGAACCAGGCCTAAACCAGGTCTAAACCAGGACTAAACCAGGTCTAAACCAGGACTAAACCAGGACTGAACCAGGCCTAAACCAGGTCTAAACCAGGACTAAACCAGGACTAAACCAGGACTAAACCAGGACTTAACCAGGACTAAACCAGGACTGGACCAGAACTAAACCAGGACTTAACCAGGACTAAACCAGAACTAAACCAGCTTTAAACTAGGACTAAACCAGAACTAAACCAGGGAATAAACTAGGACTGAGCCAAGACTAAACCAGGTCTAAACCAGAACTAAACCAGGACTAAACCAGGTCTGAATCAGGACTGAACCAGGGACTGAGTCAAGACTAAACCAGGTCTAACCCAGGGTCATGTGTGATTCCAGTGACAGTGTGCGGGTCCCACATGATGACCTCATCAGGTGGCCGAGCCTGTGAGCGGGTGGTGGTGCGTTCGTGGTCTCTCTCAGTGCAGGACGCTGCAGCTCTCGTGTTTAAAGCCTCTCGGTGTTTTTTGTTGTACAGATTTTCATCGTGTTTTCGTTTGTGACTCTGTTTGTTTTATATTTGAATAAAATCATATTCTTGGATTTTTTTGACCCTTTAATTCACAAAATATTCAAAAACATTTTTAACGTTTTTATCATTCTGACCTGGTTTGGTGAGAGGAGAAGTGAAAGTAGTAGTAATAGTTGTAGTAGTAGTAGTAGTAGCAGTAGTAGTAGTATCAGTAGTAGTAGTAGTAGTAGTAGTAGTATCAATATCAGTAGTAGTAGTAGTAGTAGAAGTAGTAGTAGTAGTAGTAGTATCAGTATCAGTAGTAGTAGTAGTAGTAGTATCAATATCAGTAGTAGTAGTAGTAGTAGAAGTAGTAGTAGTAGTAATAGTCATAGTAGTATCAGTAGTAGTAGTAGTCGTAGTAGTAGTAGTAATAGTAGCAGTAGTAGCAGTACTTTATCTCTACATTTTCTCTGTAGACTGAAGTCGAACAGTGTCTCATTAAAGTGAAAATAAAAGTTCTGTTAGATATTTATGTTTATTTTGTTATTTTGAACAGTTTAAGTCAAAGGAAAAAGGTTAAAGTCGCACTCTGGGTTATTTCTCATCTGGACGGAGTGTAGAGCCCCCTGGTGGTGAACGCAGAGCTGTTGTATCTGAAAGAAAAAGATTACGACATCACCACGACATCACCACGACATCACCACGACATCATCACGACATCACCACGACATCATCACGACATCATCACGACATACACATCACGACATCATCACGACATCACCACGACATCATCACGACATCATCACGACATCACCACGACATCATCACGACATCATCACGACATCACCACGACATCATCACGACATCATCACGACATCATCACGACATCATCACGACATCATCACGACATCATCACGACATCACACGATCATCATCACGACATCATCACGACATCATCACGACATCACACGACATCATCACGACATCACCCACGACATCATCACGACATCATCACGACATCACCACGACATCACCACGACATCATCACGACATCATCACGACATCATCACGACATCACCACGACATCATCACGACATCATCACGACATCATCACGACATCATCACGACATCACCACGACATCACCACGACATCATCACGACATCACCACGACATCATCACGACATCACCACGACATCATCACGACATCACCACGACATCATCACGACATCACCACGACATCATCACGACATCACCACGACATCATCACGACATCCAGGACTAATCCAGGTCTAAACCAGGTCTAAACCAGGACTGGACCAAGGACTGAACCAGAACTGAACCAGGTCTAAACCAGGTGTGGTCCTTGTACCTGGAGAACCGGGAGGAGAGGTGAGCTCTGAGCCCGGACTGAACCGGGTCTGGAGCAGGACTCGCACTGGGACCAGGACTGGGACTTGGGTTGGGTCTGAGCGGGGTCTTCTGGGCGTGACACAGACGCTCTCTGCTGCACAGACACAGAGACTCCTCCAGGGGGCGCCGAGGGATCTGAGCTAAAGCTGCATTCTGGAACATGCACAGAAGAGCAGAACTGTGACGTCACTGTACTGGTCTGGGTCTGGGTCTGGGTCTGGTTCTAGTTCTGGGTCTAGTTCTGGTCTAGTTCTGGGTCTGGGTCTGGTTCTGGGTCTGGTTCTGGGTCTGGTTCTGGGTCTGGTTCTAGTTCTGGGTCTGGTTCTGAGTCTGGTTCTGCGTCGGACCTGGAGCAGCAGTCTCTGGTTCTTCATGTCTTGTTTCCACGGTAACACGTAGAAAAGCGGGATCATGGGATGTGAGGCGGAGAAGCGAGGGGCGTGGCCTGACGTGCGAGGGGCGTGGTTTGGAGATGGAGGAGCGTGGCCTGTAGACGGAGGGGTGTGGCCTGTAGATGGAGGGGCGTGGTCTGGAGACGGAGGGGCGTGGCCTGTAGACGGAGGGGTGTGCTTTGGAGACAGAGGGGCGTGGCCTGTAGATGGAGGGGCGTGGCCTGATGTGCAAGGGGCGGGGCCTGTAGACGAAGTGGCGTGGTCTGGAGATGGAGGGGTGTGGCCTGTAGACGAAGTGGCGTGGTCTGGAGACGGAGGGGCGTGGCCTGTAGACGAAGTGGCGTGGTCTGGAGACGGAGGGGCGTGGCCTGTAGACGAAGTGGCGTGGTCTGGAGACGGAGGGGCGTGGCCTGCAGAACTGAAATAAACAAAAACAATAAGACATAAACACAGACACAGAGTTGAGCTTTTTGTGTAAAAGCGTGACCCCTCTCTGACCTTTGACCCCTCTGTCTGACCTTTGACCCCTCTGTCTGACCTTTGACCCCTCTCTCTGTCCCTGCCGCTCCTCACTCTGACCTTTGACCCGTGACCCCGCTCTACTTGACCCCGGGGTTCGGACTTCATTTTGGCCCAAATCCAGATCTGAAACTAAGAACCGACCAATCAGACACCTTCTTTCCCCGAGGCCCCTCCCACTTCCGTTAGTAACAGGTTTGGCGGGGGGGGGAGTTTCTACAGTCTGGCGGTCAGAGGTCAGAGGTCAGGCGTGTCTACTTCTGCTCTTCTTAAAACAAAAATAAAAACTGAATCTTTATCTTTGGTCTCATCAGAGTCACTGACGCCACAGAAGGATTATTTATATTTGAAGTAAAAGTACTTCCTGTAAATACTGCAACAGTCTAGACCCCTCACATACACACACACACACACACACACACACAAACCCATATACACAAAAACACATACACACACACACACACGCACATTTACACACACATTTATACACACACACACACACACACACACATTTACACACACATATATAAACACAAATATACCCAGAAACACACACACACACACAAATACACACATGCAAACACACACAAATACACACACACACACACACACACAAACACCCACACACATACACACATCACATACATACACACACACACATATATATAAACACAAATATACACACACACATACACACAAACACACACACATACACACAAACACACACACATACACACACACACAGACGTTTGATCCGTTGTGCGTCTGAACATTGAAGCTCTCGTCTCTCAGGTTTTATTTGTTACTCACTGGAGTCGCTCTGTCCCGGTCGACATGTTTACGTCGCCATGGAAACGCAGCCAGTGCATCGTGGGTAAGGGGGCCGGGGCGTGATGATGTCACCACTGTACTTCCTGTACAGTGGTGCTCCGCCTCCAACACCACAACAACATAACAACACGACAACAACATGACAACAGAACAACACAACAGCACGACAACAACACAACAGCAGCTCTGGTTGTTCTGTGAGCGTCACAATGTTTAAATCAAATAAAACATTTAAAAAAGTGCCCCTGGGCTGTTCTGTGGAGTTTGCATGTTCTGCCTGTGTGTGTGTGTGTCTGTGTGCGCCCCCTGCAGGACCGGACCAGGATCACAACCAGATCTGGGTCAAACACAGAGGCACATTTCACTTTTCCTCTTCATCACAAAAAGCACAAATCATTCAGACATTAGATCTTTGTTACATCATAACATTTATTTTTTAAACAAAATAAATACATCACTTTATTTTTTCTATTTACAAAATGTTCAAAACTCTGAGATTTTTGAAGAGAAAAACTTTAAGGTTTTGAAACATGGAAAACAGGATTGAGTCGTCTGAGACGTCTCAGGACAAACCTGCACCAAGTCGTCAAACGCACAACTACACAAAAACTGACAATCATTTGTGTTTCATTTGTGCTTAAAAAAGTTCAGTTTGTGCGATTCTGGTTTTTAAGACATGAACAGTTTTATTTTTGGTCAATGATGTCGTCCAGCCCCTCAGAATGTGAAACAGCCTCAAAACAACAAAAAAATGATACAAATGTTTGTGTTTTGTATTTTGTGCTTTTCACAGCACAAACGAAACACAAACGATTGACAGTTTTGTGTAGTTGTGCGTTTGACGGAGGTGACTTGACGAAGGTTCAGGACAGGAGGATATAAAAGTGTGGTTCTTGTGTGTAACACTGCTCTGTACATTGTGCGTATTTATATTTTATATTTTTACATTTTCATAAAACATTTTGTCTAAACTCTCGTCTTTGTGTCATTTCACATTAAACTTTTATCACAAAAACAAAACCAAAGCAACAGGATTAAAATAAAAGTGCAGGTGTGGTGAGAGCGACGTCCACCAGGGGGCAGCAGCTCCTCTTCACTCACTTCTGTTTAAAGCTCCAGACCCTGAGTTTAGTTTCATTTTCACTTTCAGTTTGTTCACTCTTAAAGGGGCGTGGCCTGTGTTAAAGGGGAGGAGTCTGAGCTCACGACGCCTCCTCCAGTAACCGCTGAAGATTCCTCTGGACCTGAAACACACACAGAGTTTAGACTGAACCAGGACTAAACCAGGACTAAACCAGGACTAAACCAGGATTAAACCAGGACTAAACCAGGACTAAACCAGGTCTAAACCAGGACTAAACCAGGTCTGAAGCAGGTCTGACCTTCTCCAGTTTGAGGAGGTTGATGGTGATGAGTTCTGAGAACAGGTCTGAGTTTCGTTCTGCAGTCGCTCTGAGGACGTCCCTGAAACAGACACACGATTAAACCAGATGCCCTCCCCGTGTGTCAGGTCCCTCCCCGTGTGTCAGGTCCCTCCCCGTGTGTCGGGTCCCTCCCCGTGTGTCGGGTCCCTCCCCGTGTGTCGGGTCCCTCCCCGTGTGTGGGAGTGTGTCGGGTCCCTCCCCGTGTGTGGGATTGTGTCAGATGCCCTCCCAGACTCACTGAGTCTCGGTGAAGTGGCTCAGAGGTTCCAGGGTGGAGAGTTTCTGCTCCAGAGAGATGATCTTAAAGGCAAGATAACAAGAGGAGAGCAACAGCACACACACCCTGCACACACACAGATAGACACACACACACACACACACACACACACACACACACACACACACACACACACACACACACACATACACTTTAATCAATAATCAATATTTATAATCATTATAATAAAAATAAAACCAACAGGAGGAGGACAGCACACACACACACACACACACACACACACACACACACACACACACACACACACACACACACACTCTACACACACTCTACACACACTCTCTGGTCTTTAATCAATCTGTTTAATCATCATTGTTTGTGATGATTCTGATCAAATAAACGTGAGTCGTGTTTTACTCACAGCAGCAGATAAACACAGAGCAGAAAACTCAGAGACACGGACTTCAGACTCCGACTGTCCAACACCACCTCTGAAACTGAACCACGCACCGGGGTTAGACCTGGTTTAGTCCTGAATCAGTCCTGATTTAGTCCTGGTTTAATCCTGGTTTAGTCCTGGTTCAGTCCTGATTTTGTCCTGGTTTAATCCTGGTTTAGTCCTGGTTTAGTCCTGGTTTAGACCTGGTTTAGTCCTGGTTTAGTCCTGGTTTAGTCCTGATTTAGACCTGTTTTAGCCCTGGTTTAGACCTGGTTTAGTCCTGGTTTAGTCCTGATTTAGACCTGTTTTAGTCCTGTTTTAGTTTTGGTTTAATCCTGGTTTAGTCCTGGTTTAGTCCTGGTTTAGACCTGGTTTAGTCCTGGTTTAGACCTGGTTTAGTCCTGGTTTAGTCCTGATTTAGACCTGTTTTAGTCCTGGTTTTAGTCTTGGTTTAATCCTGGTTTTAGTCCTGGTTTAGTCCTGTTAGTCCTGTTTTAGTCCTGATTTTAGACCTGTTTTTTAGACCTTTAGTCTTGGTTTAGTCCTGGTTTAGTCCTGGTTTAGACCTGGTTTTAGTCTGGTTTAGTCCTGGTTTAGTCCTGATTTAACCTGTTTTAGACCTGTTTAGTCCTGGTTTAGCCTGGTTTAGTCTGGTTTAGTCTTGGTTTAATCCTGGTTTAGTCCTGGTTTAGACCTGGTTTAGTCCTGATTTAGACCTGTTTTATCCTGGTTTAGTGGTTTAGTCCTGGTTTTTAGACCTGGTTTAGTCCTGGTTTAGACCTGGTTTAGTCCTTGGTTTAGTCCTGGTTTAGTCCTGGTTTAGTCCTGGTTTTAGTTTTAGTCCTGGTTTAGTCCTGGTTTAGACCTTTTTAGTCCTGGTTTAGTTTAGTCCTGGTTTAGTCCTGGTTTAGACCTGGTTTAGTCCCGGTTTAGTCCTGGTTTAGTCCTGATTTAGACCTGTTTAGTTCCTGGTTTAGTTTTCTGGTTTAGTCCTGGTTTAGTCCTGGTTTAGTCCTGGTTTAGTCCTGGTTTAGTCCTGGTTTAGTCCTGGTTTAGTCCTGGTTTAGTCCTGGTTTAGTCCTGGTTTAGTCCTGGTTTAGACCTGTTTTAGTCCTGGTTTAGTTTTGGTTTAATCCTGGTTTAGTCCTGGTTTAGACCTGGTTTAGTCCTGGTTTAGTCCTGGTTTAGTCCTGATTTAGACCTGTTTTAGTCCTGGTTTAGTCTTGGTTTAATCCTGGTTTAGTCCTGGTTTAGTCCTGATTTAGTTTAACCTGGTTTAGTCCTGGTTTAGTCCTGTTTAGTTCCTGATTTAGACCTGTTTTAGTCCTGGTTTAGTTTTGGTTTAGTCCTGGTTTCCTGGTTTAGATCTGGTTTAGTCCTGGTTTAGTCCTGGTTTAGTTTTGGTTTAGACCTGGTTTAGTCCTGGTTTAGACCTGGTTTAGTCCTGGTTTAGTCCTGGTTTAGTCCTGGTTTAGTCCTGGTTTAGTCCTGGTTTAGTCCTGGTTTCAGTCCTGGTTAGTCCTGGTTTAGTCCTGGTTTAGACCTGGTTTAGTCCTGGTTTAATCCTGGTTTAGTCCTGGTTTAGACTTGGTTTAATCCTGGTTTAGTCCTGGTTTAGTCTTGGTTTAATCCTGGTTTAGTCCTGGTTTAGTCCTGGTTTAGACCTGGTTTAGTCCTGGTTTAGTCCTGGTTTAGTCCTGATTTAGACCTGTTTTAGCCCTGGTTTAGACCTGGTTTAGTCCTGGTTTAGTCCTGATTTAGACCTGTTTTAGTCCTGTTTTAGTTTTGGTTTAATCCTGGTTTAGTCCTGGTTTAGTCCTGGTTTAGTCCTGGTTTAGTCCTGGTTTAGACCTGGTTTAGTCCTGGTTTAGACCTGGTTTAGTCCTGGTTTAGTCCTGATTTAGACCTGTTTTAGTCCTGTTTTAGTCTTGGTTTAATCCTGGTTTAGTCCTGGTTTAGTCCTGGTTTAGTCCTGATTTAGACCTGTTTTAGACCTGTTTTAGTCCTGGTTTAGACCTGGTTTAGTCCTGGTTTAGTCCTGGTTTAGTCCTGTTTTCCTGTTTTAGTCCTGGTTTAGACCTGGTTTAGTCTTGGTTTAATCCTGGTTTAGTCCTGGTTTAGACCTGGTTTAGTCCTGGTTTAGTCCTGGTTTAGTCCTGATTTAGACCTGTTTTAGTCCTGGTTTAGTTTTGGTTTAGTCCTGGTTCAGTCCTGGTTTAGTCCTGGTTTAGTCCTGGTTTAGTCCTGGTTTAGACCTGTTTTAGTCCTGGTTTAGTTTTTGGTTTAATCCTGGTTTAGTCCTGGTTTAGTCCTGGTTTAGACCTGGTTTAGTCCTGGTTTAGTCCTGGTTTAGTCCTGATTTAGACCTGTTTTAGTCCTGGTTTAGTTTTGGTTTAGTCCTGGTTTAGTCCTGGTTTAGACCTGGTTTAGTCCTGGTTTAGTCCTGGTTTAGACCTGGTTTAGTCCTAGTTTAGACCTGGTTTAGTCCTGGTTTACTGCTAGTTCAGACCTGGTTTAGTCCTGGTTTAGTCCTGGTTCAGTCCTGGTTTAGTCCTGGTTTAGTCCTGGTTCAGTCCTGGTTTAGACCTGGTTTAGAGTCCTGGTTAGTCCTGGTTTCAGTCCTGGTTTAGTCCTGGTTTAGTCCTGGTTTAGTCCTGGTTTTAGTCCTGGTTTAGTCCTGGTTTAGTCCTGGTTTTAGTCCTGGTTTAGTCCTGGTTTAGTCCTGGTTTAGTCCTGGTTTAGTCCTGGTTTAGACCTGGTTTAGTCCTGGTTTAGTCCTGGTTTAGTCCTGGTTTAGACCTGGTTTAGTCCTGGTTTAGTCCTGGTTTAGTCCTGATTTAGACCTGTTTTAGTCCTGGTTTAGTTTTGGTTTAATCCTGGTTTAGACCTGGTTTAGTCCTGGTTTAGTTTTGGTTTAATCCTGGTTTAGACCTGGTTTAGACCTGGTTTAGTTTTGGTTTAATCCTGGTTTAGACCTGGTTTAGACCTGGTTTAGTCCTGGTTTAGTCCTGGTTTAGTTTTGGTTTAATCCTGGTTTAATCCTGGTTTAGACCTGGTTTAGTCCTGGTTTAGTTTTGGTTTAATCCTGGTTTAGTCCTGGTTTAGTCCTGGTTTAGTCCTGGTTTTTCCTGGTTTATCCTGGTTTAGTCCTGGTTCAGTCCTGGTTTAGTCCTGGTTTAGTCCTGGTTTAGTCCTGGTTTCCTGTTTAGTCCTGGTTTAGTCCTGGTTTAGTCCTGGTTTCAGTCCTGGTTAGTCCTGGTTTAGTCCTGGTTTAGTCCTGGTTTAGTCCTGGTTTAGTCCTGGTTTAGTCCTGGTTTAGTCCTGGTTTAGTCCTGGTTCAGTCCTGGTTTAGTCCTGGTTTAGACCTGGTTTAGTCCTGGTTCAGTCCTGGTTTAGTCCTGGTTTAGTTCTCACCTCGGTGTTTGTTCTCTGAGATGTTTTGTGGTGGACTTTGGTTCTTTTGAGGCTCACAGGCTGTTGGAGGATTTTCAGGACGAGTCAGAAGGAACTCAGGAACCGGGAACTCTGAGAAGAACCAGACAGGTGAGGCAGGTGAGAGACAGGTGAGACAGGTGAGAGACAGGTGAGACAGGTGAGAGACAGGTGAGACAGGTGAGAGACAGGTGAGGTGAGAGACAGGTGAGAGACAGGTGAGGCAGGTGACAGGTGAGACAGGTGAGAGACAGGTGAGGCAGGTGTGACAGGTGAGACAGGTGAGAGACAGGTGAGACAGGTGAGAGACAGGTGAGAGACAGGAGAGACAGGTGAGAGACAGGTGAGACAGGTGAGAGACAGGTGAGAGACAGGTGAGACAGGGGAGAGACAGGTGAGGCAGGTGAGACAGGTGAGACAGGTGAGAGACAGGTGAGACAGAGAGACAGGTGAGACAGGTTGAGAGACAGGTGAGACAGGTGAGAGACAGGTGAGACAGGTGAGACAGGTGAGAGACAGGTGAGAGACAGGTGACAGAGACAGGTAAGACAGGGAGAGACAGGTGAGAGACAGGTGAGACAGGTGTGACAGGTGAGACAGGTGAGACAGGTGAGACAAGTGAGGCAGGTGAGACAGGTAAGAGACAGGTGAGGCAGATGAGAGACAGGTGAGACAGGTGAGACAGGTGAGACAGGTGAGACAGGTGAGAGACAGGTGAGACAGGTGAGACAGGTGAGAGACAGGTGAGACAGGTGAGGCAGGTGAGACAGGTGAGAGACAGGTGAGACAGGTGAGAGACAGGTGAGAGACAGGTGAGACAGGTGAGACAGGTGAGAGACAGGTGAGACAGGTGACAGGTGAGGACAGGTGAGCAGGTGAGACAGGTGAGACAGGTGAGAGACAGGTGAGACAGGTGAGGCGGATGAGAGACAGGTGTGACAGGAAGTGTGACAGGTGAGGCAGGTGAGACAGGTGAGGCAGGTGAGGCAGGTGAGACAGGTGAGACAGATTTGACAGGTGAGACAGATGAGACAGGTGAGACAGGTGAGAGACAGGTGAGACAGGTGAGACAGGTGAGGTGGATGAGAGACAGGTGAGACAGATTTGACAGGTGAGACAGATGAGACAGGTGAGACAGGTTCGACAGGTGCGACAGGTGAGTTCTGTACCGTTGATCTTGTCGTAGTCTGGGGTCTGTGAGTCTGAGCTGCTGCTCTCCTCCAGATCTTCTCTCCTCGGCTCCACAAAGTCTCCAGAAAAGGCCTGAACATCACAGAAACACAAAATAAATATAAGAGAATCACAAAATATGAAAAGAAATTTGATTCATGATTATGGGATAAAATGTGAGAAATAAAAGTTGGACTGACCAGAGGGAAACGTGGAGACTGAGGCGTGCGAGGCGTCCGGAAACTACTGTCCACAGACGAAGGGACGGGACTACTGCACGGACTCTTCTCCTGCAAGAACCAAGACCAGGACTAAGACCAGGACCAGGATTAAGACCAGGACTCAACCAGGACCGGGATCAAGACTCAAACAGGATCAAACCAGGACAAGAACCAGGACTGAACCAGGCCCAGGACCAGGACTCAAATAGGATCAAATCACGACCACGACTCAACCAAGACTCAACTAGGACTCAACCGAGACTGAACCAGGACCAGGACTCAACCAGGACCAGGACCAGGATTCAACCAGGACCAGGACCAGGACAAGACTGAACCAGGACCAGGACCAGGACCAGGACTCAACCAGGACCAGGACCAGGACTCAGGACCAGGACTCAACCAGGACCAGGACCAGGACTCAACCAGGACCAGGACAAGGACTGAACCAGGACCAGGACAAGGACTCAAACAGGACCAGGACCAGGACTCAACCAGGACCAGGACCAGGACTCAAACAGAACCAGGACCAGGACTCAACCAGGACCAGGACTCAAACAGAACCAGGACCAGGACTCAACCAGGACCAGGACCAGGACTCAAACAGAACCAGGACCAGGACTCAACCAG